CTGCGGAGGCCACCAGAAAGGTGTCAACAGCCATGAAGTCAAGATTTTCGAAGATTGCTTGGCGCTTCCTTTCAGGGTTTTACCTTTGCTCCTCTTGTATCTGAAAAATCGTAGTGTTGATCCTCAGTTTTAGGGAATTTTCTCACCTGAACCCCTTAGGTGGGGGTTAAAGTGGGCATAGACCTCTACTTTTGGACCTCGGACTGCTCCACATCTTCCGATGGTCTCTGTACTCTGGCACCAGCGTTCTGTGTACCGCTGCTGGCGATATTCCTTGCCGTGTGCCTCACTTCAGGGGACCCAGGGTGCTGCTGCTGCCATATTGCTCCTGTATCAAGTGATCCCTCGGGGGCTAAGGCGCGGGGTGTCAGATCTTCATGGAGGCCTTTTCCGACTCACTGATGTGTAACAGTAGACAAATGCGTGTGTTTAGTCTCGTCATCTGAGGAGAGCAATATTACTCATTCATGGAGAGGGACAGATGACAAAAAGTCAGACCTTTCAGCCCAAGTTGACACAAAAGTCATGATCATCCTACTTCAGTCCCCGAATGTCAGGGTTACCAATGTACAGGCCCATGCCAGGCTCTTTGCATTTTTTCAGATAGGTTCTCTTGTAGCTAAGGCTTGTCTCTAGAGCCTTCCACCACCATGGATGGCCTTGATTTTCTGATCCACCTTGCCTGTGTCTTCCAAGTGTTGGATCACGGGCATGTACCACCCCCTCCCCACTCCCTGAGCTAATTTTTCTTCCTGTTGAACATTGATGCAATGGTAGCTGAGAATTTAGTGTACCAAGGAGAATTTGATTGTGGTTATGGGAGCAACATGGCCTTGCTTTTGTGGGTTTTGTTTTGTTTCTTAGATACAAATAACTTGGGCTAACCCAGAGCCTGGGAGGTCCAGACAAGAGGATCAGAAGTTCAAGGTCACTCTTGGCTTTCTAGGAAGTCTGAACCCAACCTGAACTATTTGGAACCCTGCCTCAACCAAACACCAAACTAACCAAGCAGCAAAAACAATACCCCCACTCCCAAATAAGACAAACAGTAACGATCTCACACCATTTACTTTTGTATGGGGAGAGAGACTTTTAATTATTAGTGTGTACAAATTACATAGAAAGATTTCCACTTAACTCTGCCCTTAAATTATTCATAGGAAGTGACAGTTGGGAACCCGACTGCACCCTGTCCCAGAAGTAAAAGGTCCCTGAGGGTTGTCTGGGAGATTTGGATGGTAATGTGATAAGGGCCACAATACACTGCTTTCTCCCTCCCCCAGGCCAAGCTGCCAATAGCTGTGTGTGCCTCCCGCCCCCACCCCCTTTGTCTCAGTTCAAAAGTCTTCACTTTGGCTCCCTGCTACCCCGCAGGGTGACCAGGCCACCCACTCCGCAGTCCAGCACTGTTCTCTATTGGCCTCTCCTCTTCTCTCTTCCCTTCCTCCTTCGAAAGAGCAGATGAGGTACACATGGAAATTAGAAGCCACAGCGCTCATTTGAGGGTGTAGAGGCCAAAAGAACTCACAGCGCACTTGAAACGAATCCCTGCTCTTGGCTGGCATTTTCCACAGATGGCAAGTAGAGTAATTTCACGCCTGATTGGTGGAGGGGCTTGTCTCCTCGTATAGCCTGTCATGTTTAACAATTTTTATTAGATGGAAAACTTTGACTTGACTTCTCTCGGTTTTCAGGATGCTGGTACAACATGCAAGGCTTCTCAATGTATCCAATCTATCTGCTGACTTGGATAGAAAGTAAATGTCTTCTAATTCATGGGCACTGACTCAGGAAGATGGTTCTAGAACTTTCCCTAACCTCATAGTTCAGTGCCTCTCAGTTTTTATAGGCAACTTTTAGTTATTTTATTATTATTTAATTTTATTTATTATTTAATTATTATTTTAATTATTCCTAAAATGACGCATTTTCTTCTAATGTTGGTAGTAGTTATTGGTAAGTGACCCCCAAAGGGCCAAGGCTTAATATAAAAGGTGCAGGCGGCCATCCGCTGACACAGATCCATCCCGATGTCATCATCCTGCCATCTGACCCTTGGGCTGCAGTCACACAAGTAAAGGACAAGGGTACGAGTGGGAGGCAGCTGTGACAACGCCCTTGTATTAAAGCCACGCATTTCATTCTGTGAGGCCGCACGGGCTCCATCCCGCTAAACATGTAATTTCAGCAGGCTTGTTTTTCTGCTCCCCCTGCTTGAAGCAGAGCCATGGCCACGTGGTAGGAGGGAGCGGTGTTGGCACACGAGATGGCAGCAGAAGTTGCAGTGTGACAGCCCTGATGGCAGGAGGGGACAGGGGGAAAACCCAGCACAGTGAGGAGCGGATTCATGTTTCTTCAGCAGGTCTGTTGACAAGATCTGAGAAGGGTGTGTTCTCCGTAGCTTTCCGTGGGGGGTGGAGTGGTGAAATTATGACATTTTGGGATTTTTGAAGATGACTGAAATTATTTGAGAAAACCGTCGATACTCTAAAGCTCATACTACTCCTCAATAGCAATATTGCGAAGAGTACAGCATTTCCTGGGAGGTGCTAGGCACACCGGCTCCACAGCCCAGACTGAGCCCAGTGATTAAGGTGTGTGTCTTTGCAGTTGCTCAGTGAATGCAGTTTGAATGAACGAAGTAGCTGACACAGCCCACTTGGCTCTTCTGGAGCCCACGTGGCACGTGAATAAAACTGAGTCCTTCAGGGCTGACTCGAAGTGTTGCATTCGCCAAAAGTAAAATCACTTAAAGTATGTGGCTTTCTTTGTATTAGCAAATATGCATTCATCTAGGCCAGTGATTCTCAACCTTCCTAATGCTGTGACCCTTTACTACAGTTCCTCATGTTCCGGTGACTGCCTGCCAACTATAAAATTATTTCATGGCTTCATATCTGTAAATTTTGCTACTGTTACGGATCATAATGTAACAAAGGGGTCATGACCCACAGGTTGAGAACTGCTGATCTAGACCATAGCCTAGTAGAACACGGAGGATTGGTTCATCAGATCTGTTTTGTGGTTTGGTGGAACAGTGTCTCTAAATCCAGTTTCTTCATTTACCTACATCTAGGGTAAAATTACATTTTTCAAATAACTCCGGCCCGTATAAATATAAGAAACTTTAAGAGCGAGTCTTGAGCCTTGGTTCTAAATAGGCCAATTATTATTCTTGATTGCTTGAGCTGAGTTTTCTTCTTGCCCCTGAATTAGCTTCTTGCTGGATGTGTGCAAGACTGGGGATACGTGAGGAGCAGGCCCTGATTCCTGGCTCGGGTGCACCGAGACTGTGCCCATACCCCAAGAGGCCTGTTGAAGGGAACTCAGCTGTACTTCTGGTGCAGGGAACAGCAAGGGGTTTATTATACAGCTTAGATAGCTGTAAATTACAACCCTAAGATGTGGACAGCAAGTTGGAGAGATCTGTGCTCAATGTTTGGGGTCCACAGGTTCTTAGAGGGCAGGAGTATATACCGGGGAATGGTCCCACGAAACTCTGTGATGCTGAACAGCATTCAGGGCGCATGCACTTGTCTATAAAAAAATTCCTTATTTTCTATCTTTAATTCTTTTCGCTTCTTGGTTTCTGGAGGCAGGATAGCATGTAGCCCAGGCTGACTGCTTTTCATTTAGAGGAGGAGGGCCTTGAGCTCTTGTTCCTCTTGCCTCTACCTCTTCAGTACCGGGAGGATGGGTGTACACACCCCTGCGTCTGATGGTGTCATTCATTGTCTCGGCACTGGTAATAATGGTCAGCATAGATAGATCATAGCAAACTAAGTGCTGAAGCAGACCCAGTACACCACAGGATCTCTTGAGAATCCTATTAGCTTTGAACTCCTCATCAGTGCTAACTAGGCTGGTTTGTCACTTGGCCTTTCAGTCCCCGTGTCTTGCTCTGGTATAGCACGAGAAGTAACTGTCCTAGAGACACTCTGCGCTGTAACTTCTTCAGCGAACACCTCGGTCCTGGTATGGAAGAGAACCTCTCTTGTAGCCTTGGAGAGCTGAAATAGACTTTGTGATGCAAAGTTTGCGTTTAGGACTTTTTGTTTGTTTTTCCAGACAGAGCTTCCCTGTGTAGTGTATCCATTTGGCTGTCTTAGTACTTACTCTGTAGATCAGGCTGGCCTCGAACTCAGAGATCCCTCTGCTTCTGCCTCAGTGCTGGGATCAAAGCAGGTGCTGCCTCTGCCGCCACCGCCGCCTGGCTGCTTTTAGAACTTTTAGTCGGTTTATTTTCAGCAAACTTGTGAGTGTTGATATGACTAATTCTCTGCTTGTTGCTGTCTGCCACACTCAGACTATAGCTCTGGGGCAGGGGATGCTGATATTCAGGAGGAAGGCATCACAGGGACCTAGGGGAGGGGCTACAAACGCTCCTCTGCCTCACAAGGTAGCTTCTAGGTGCTTTGCTTTAGCTTGCAATGGATTGCTCTAGCATTGTTTTTAAATCGGATTCTCTCTGATAGTGTGGCCATTGAAAGGTCCTGGGGCCAGGCTGAAGAGGGGTGCTGTGCCCCACATTCTGCCTATGGGTGGCAGGAGGGGAAGCAGAGACAGGTGCACACGTGGCTGCTTCTCACCTTGGCTGGAAGCAGGAAACAAAGTGAAACCACTTACCTTATCCTTGAGAATGGCATTCCTTAACCCCCCAATAGGAAGGAACAGCGGGACTCAAAGCCGCGTGAAAAGGGCTTCCGGTGATCACACCTTTTCTGACAAGTGGGTCTAGTAATTGGCAAGCTAGTTCTTTTTGTGATCTTCAGGCGACTACGTTCGTCACAGGCTTGCATTCCCATCGCTTTGCAGGAGTTCAGAAGTTTGAGCTACCACTGAAGTGTGGTCTGTGGAGGGGCGGGGCTCTCCGTCGCCAATGAGGTGCCTTCAGTCCCGGGCAAGCCTATCATCTTTCGCTGGAGTGCTTACTCTGTAATCCCAGCGATAGCCACGCAGCCTGTTTTATTGTTTGTGGAGTCCTGCGGCTAGGAGCGCTTCCCAGACGGGAAGGAGGGCAAGTGGGCGGTTTATGATTCTGCCCTGTGCCGAGACGACAGAGCCGAACCCTTTGATTTCTCCCAAGTAACGTGTGGGTGAACTTTAAACTGGGGACCTGCTTGATTCTGGATCTTTTGCTGCCGGGTGGGGAGTTAGCGCCTCCACCAGAAGCTGGCTTTCTGCCTTCAAAAGGAAGGATGCCCTGGAGAGGCGTAGCATTACATTTAGGGATGCTAGCCATACAGCCAAGTGTCGGGGTACCTTGGCTCTTCTTTGCAAAGTCGTGGCAAGTGTGTCTTAAATGACCACAGTGTTTCATTTTTAAAAGCTTGTACTTCTCTTTATTTTTATTTTTTTTTGCCTGTGGACCTCTCTCCAGAAATTGGTGCTGCAGTGTGGCTAGAGTAAACCATTTTTTAAAAAATATATTTTTAATCCTTCATTTTCCTTTTTCTTTTAATTGGGCACACAGAAGCACAATGCCTGCCCGACTCTCAGCGTTGTCTGGGTAAGTGGGAAGGGGCAGGCTCCTCTCAAGGCCCTGGGCCAATTCTAAAAAGCCGGCTTTTTGTTTGTTGGGCTGCCCTTTGTCTCTGGAGGATTTTGATGCGAAAGAAGATGAAAAAGGAAGGCGCCTCAGGTTCCTTCAGACTCAAGGCAAACCCAGGCTCTCTCTCACGTGCTGTGAGTTGGATAAATTTCTCCTCCCTGTCCAGGCAGACAAAGAGGCTGTTTCACAGTGACGGAGAGCTGTCCGTTTGTGGGCAGCAGGTGGAAGCAGATGACGAGAACTGGACATACAGAACCAGAAAAGGTGACTTGGTTTCTGCCCTTGTTATTTTCAATTTAAGCATCTTTTAAAATTTTTTTCTTCTATAGACTGCTTTATTCCTATCAATGATTTCTTGTCATGCGCCCCCCCCCCCCCCCAATTCGGAGTTTCTTGCTTGTTTTTGTGTTAGAATTCAGAATTCAGCCTCGTTCATTTGTTTACACGTCTAAAATAAAAAACTCCCTCAACAAGATTCGGCTTGTGACTGTAGCCTTCGGAGGAGGTTAAATGGCTGTTGTTTGCTGTGGGCGCTCCCCCTTCCCTCCCCAGTCTGTGTTGTCCTGTGACTTGGGTAAAGCGAGTAAGAAGACATCAGTCCAGATGGGATCTTCTAGCCTGACGGTCCTGGGCCAGTCGTGAGCTCCTGTTCTGCAACCGCTCTGAGGAAACTTGGGGGTCTGTGGATGGTCTTTTGACAGCTGTCTCCTGAGAAGATGAATGACTTGTGACTGAGTGCTTGAATTAGACAGGTGCTGGTGTGATGTGGAGGGACGTGGACACACAGGGGAGTCCCTTTCAGACCAATGTGAGTGTCTATTCTCAGGATTAGCATGTTAGCCCCCCTCCCCACATGGAAGGTAAGGAACACAGGGGGCATTCTGGTATTTCATTATCCCCCCCCCCGTTTTCTGTATAGAATTCCTGGCATCTGTTTATTAGGATACGGGCTGTAGTACCTGGATTGTTTTCTCTCTGTGATGGTCTCCGCATTGGGTGTTGTCCAAAGTCCAGCAGGGAAGCACTCATGCATGTTCCAAAGGAGTCCAGACATTGCCGGGACAGTGTGGGACTTGTTTACTGGGTTCTCTCTCCGCCAAGAGAAACCTTGCTAGAACCTCTCAGGGACCCATTCTTGCCCCTCTTCTGGGACTCCAAACTGCAGAAATGTGAGTTAACTAACCTGGGTCCATGATCATTCTGAGCGCTCTGGGAATTAAACACAGCTCCTTTCTAGGGACACTGGGTGTTAACCTGCTTGTGCCTGCCTTTGAACTTGTCGGTGTCAGAGGAAGGACTGGTTACTCTTCTTTAAGACGTCGGTTGCATTTGCGTTAAGGAGCTGGTCGTCAGTGGTCCCCCATCCTGAGCTTTCATACCCAAGTTTTGAGTTCTCACTGTGCAGTCGCCAGCGTCGGAACAGGCATTTGCCTTCTGGCTGGGACTGTGCAGGTTAAGTCTGGGAGCTGCTTCTCTACATCAGGAATAAGCTGTGGTTTTGGTAAGTGGCTGGTCCGTCGTGTTTGAACCAAACATGTTTGCAGGGTGGACCCCATAGGGCTCTGGTTGCAAGGGAGTGCACTTCTGACTCCTTTGGCCTGTGCCAGAAGCTGCTTCTCAGGACTTTCTTTGCTTCAAACCAACCGCTGCCAAGTTTCTGTTGGAGATGGTGTACGTTTGAGCATGTGGCTTTAGTGCTTCCAGTGTCCGTGGTTCATCCAGATTAGCATTAAAGGGAGAGAGAGAGAGACGGAATTTGTATGTGTTGCATTGATTTGGAAAGCGAAGCGAATCCTGTACACTTGACTTGTAGAATATAAAGAAGTCGTTGTGAAGAGCAGGGGCAAGTTCTGAAGGAAGGGAAGACTTGTATATTTCCAATACAAAACTCCGTGCCTTTTATCCCTCCGTGTCACGGGGGCACTGTCGCTTCCTCTGTGTCAATGGGGTCCACCACAGTGTGTGCATTTGTAGGTTCTTAGGAATAATTGGCCCAGAATAAATATTATCATTTTGACATATGGGGTGCAGGGAAGTCTGTTAAACGCTGCCTGTATATTACAAATCATAGACTTACATTCTGTTTCCATATTTAGCTTGCAAAAGAAAATTGGCTCTCTTCCTTGACATACTGTCTCAGGGGCATGTACTAACAGTTGGGCTTTATTCCTCGCAATTCTTCCCTTTGCAGAGATGTGGAAGTGACATTTGTTTACATTAGCAGATCAGAAGAGGAACCTTCTTTAAGGCAAATCAGGCTAGGCTTTGAGTTTTCTTCTGATGGGCATGAATATATAGCAGGGATTACCAGTCACCACAGAGGGTGCCTAGTGGCCATATTAAGATTGGGTTACACATTAAAAAAAGAGCACCAAGACCTACTGGTCTGATGCGCGCATGGGCGTCTTCTGTATCCAACTCCTAGAATGTGAACAAGTCTTTGGATTCATATATGCTTTTGACAAACTTCCGTCCTCCCCTCCCCCACTACCTTCAGTCCTGACAGGCAGGGTGGGCAGTGGTAACCTGGAAGTCAACCTTCCTTGCATTCTGTGGGGTGTGGGGAGCCTGGTTCTGCAACTGCCTCTGCAGGCTTGCTCCCAGCTGCTTCAAGGCCAGACTGTTGTTCCTGCCCTCTGTCGCCAGGTAACACCTTACAGCACAGCCAACCCGTGGGATCCTTGGTGAATAGTAAACTGTAGAACACATCCATTCCTTTTGCAAAGTAGCAGGCCTTTTCATGGTGAATCTCCAGGCTGAGGAGGAACAGTTACAACGCAAGTTTTTACACAATTACTTTTGAGGGGAGTTTATTTATTTACTTATATATTTCTTGAGACAGGGTCTTTCTACATAGCCTTGGCTGTTCTGGACCTCATTTTGTAGACTGGGGTGGCCTCAGTCTCACAGAGATCCGCCCGCCTCTGCCTCCTGAGTGCTGGGATTAAAGATGGGCGTCACCATCGCCTGGCTTTACCTGGTTACGTTTGAAGATGACTATCAGTGCCCTAGCCTTTGATTTTATTGTTTACATCCCCAGAAACTAAGGTAAAATGATAGCTTTAGATTTCCGCGGATTCTTTTCGTAGCATTAGAGGTGACCAACAGGCATCTTTGTGCTCCGTGACTTTTCCCTGTGTATCTGTGTATTGAATGTTAAGAGTCCCTGCTGCTCTTGTAAGGGCCTGAATTCCATTCCCATGACCCAGGTCAGGTGACCTGTCACGACAGCTCTAGGGGATCTGACACTTAGAGGCCATCTGCACTCACATGCAGGTCTCTCTTTTGCCTACATACACATAATTGAACAGTAGAGACACTACCAGAAGATTCAGATAAATAGGCTCAAAGCCATCATCAGCGGGCGAGCACGTGAACTTACCTTGTCACAGTACGGTAGGAGGTACGAACTCTCTCGTCCTGACATTTGTGTTCAGGGAGCTAGAGTGAGTGCTTAGCACGGTGATCGGTTCTTTTGTTCTCGCTGTGATATGAGCCACTTCGGCACACTCTGCTTCAACTTCATTAACTGTAGAAGTCAGAACGTGAAGCTGTGAGAGGCACGGGAGAAAGTGGGGAGTGTGGTGAGAAAGTGGGGAGTGTGGTGAGAAAGTGGGGAGTGTGCTGGCACAGGGGCCGTGGGTGTAGCTTTCTTAGCGGTGATGGGGAGGAAGGCTAGTAGGAGGAACCTTGCTTACTGAGTTCTGGGGAGTGTATGCTTCTGTGGAAAAGCACAGGGAAGTATCTGAGGGGCAGTTTAAAAAAAAAAAAAAAACTAAGGAAAAATACAGTGTGAAGGCTTAGAGAAGGCCCGGACAAGGGATTTTTGTCTGAGACCTTTTCATGTTTTCTGTGTTCTTCTGGCTGTTAGCATGGAATTAACCAGCATTTGATTAGTGATTCCTCACCACTGCCACTGAAGGTTCTCAAGGAAAGCTAATGACCCGTATTCATCCCATGCTTCCCTTTCCTGCTCACTGCAATAGAATAAAAGGGGTGGGGAAACAGCGGAGGCCATGGGGGTGTCTTCTCATCGGGCAGAGCACATTTCTTTTCACCCCAGCTCTCTTTTGGCTGGGTAGAGGCCGGATTGACGACGCTGGAGTTGACAGGTCTACCAATAGAGAGGGTAACCCTTGTTTTAAATAACATTTTTATTTTGTCCCCCTGTGGATTGTATCATCATCTGAGCTTAGTAACATGACCAAATCTGACTTGTCTATGTTTCAGTGTCTCTCCCCATACCAGGTCTGTAACATCACACACAGGACTAGTGGAACAGTTCCTGTAGACTGCCTCACAGGAGTGAAGTCCTGGATTCACTCCTTGGCACCTCCTGTCCTATGCCCCCCCCCCCCAAACCAGAGGCAGCCTTTGTGAACACCAGGGATAAGGAACAATTTGTACCCTAGGTCATCAGTTCTTGAGTGTAGGAGTTGTATGTAAATGGTATGTGGGAGTGATGTGTTATTTCATCCCAGTACCCCTCCTCATCAGAGAGTTGCGTCGAACAGCCTCACTGGCCATAATTGGATTAGTAATGACTAGATACCATAGTGGAGAAAAATGGCTTGCCAAGACCCAATGCAGCAAGTTCGAGTTCCTATTTATATAATGTTATCTGGGTTCTGTTTAAAAAAAATAATGAAACACCTTTAAAATTGTGAGACTTAAGAATAGCACAAACGTTAAGGAAGCCTAAAAGGTACTAGTAAATGTTGTTAAAGGGACATTCATTGCAAATTTGTGCTTTGAACTAAACAAGTATTACTTATTCTGAGGGTCACTCTGTTTATCAGGAAGTTGGTTAAATGGATTTTTATCTTAACAGAAGCACCAAGATGGATGGCCTCAGTGCATGATGGCTTGTCCTTCTTAAATTCCCACTGAAGCTGACATTCTGTGGAAGAGACAGCCTCTTGTTATTTTTTCTGGTCCACTAACACTGCCCCTTATTGACCTTTGATTATTTCTTTTTGCCAACAGAGGTTGGCAGCCTCTGTTGCTTCAGTACCTTGTTTTATTGGGGGGGGGGGAAGGGAAAAAAAGACCCTTTTGGTCATTCAATTGTGACAGTTTTGTTGAAATGATGTTCTTGGTCAAATATCCTCCCTTCATTAACTTTAGAAAGTTTGTGGGCTTGTTTGAGAATTAGAGACTTCCTCAAATGACTGGAAGTGTGTTAGAATTCAAAAAAGGGGGCTTTCCGCCAGGACTTCAGTTGAAAGTGAATAATTTTTGCTTTTTTTTTCTGTTGTTGAAAT